CATGACGCCACCATACAACCTTATGAAGAGTCGGGTGCTTGAACTTCTTGAGAGCAAACGTCACCTACTGGAAGTGAACAAGGAAAGCGATCAATTTCTTGAAGATCGCCCGCAAAATGTCATTAAATTTACTCAACTTGTACTTCATTTGCTGGAGCAGCATAAGCTTGTTATACGTTTTCTTGATGCTTTGAAAACAGTGAAGCATCAAGTTTCATCAAGTTGTGTTCTTTTGCTTGACCGTCTTGCTAAGCTAGCTTTGCAGGTTCGCGTCTTTGTAGTATTCGACAAGATGCTTGCACGCGTCGATCAGTATAAACAACTACAACATGTGATAGACATCCTTGTACTAGTAGAAGGAGTTGCTTCTAACTCCTATTCTCCATCTTGATCGTCTTGTTTAGGACAATCGTCAACATGGTCGCCAGCTTGTGATCAAGGCATGCGAACCAATAGAAAGCCGACGAGATGCCATTAACGCCACAACAATTTAAACCGCTATTCAAGATCACGATGATTTGCTAATACATGAATGCCATTACCTTGACACAACTAAACCTACATTGAACTCGTCTAGTACCATTTTCATAGTTTGATTGGCTTCCTCAATAGGCTTTACATGTAGCGTGCTGGCATGCAGAATGAACATTTCATCGATGCAATGAATGATGATGAACATGTACAAATTATTCTTGATCGCTATTATCCACAAATCAAGAGTACATTTCAAGTTTAAACCCGAGTCGAAGTGATTCTTGATAACGAGGCTGAGCTTTTCGCGGCCGTTCTGAGCACCTGAATTGACGTTACGGCTAATCATCGTCGGGTTGGCAAGCAACTTGTCAATTTTGACTTGGCCTATGCTTCCCAATCTGATATCAAGCACCGTCATGGCCGACATAAGCTTGTAGCTGCTCTTTCAAAATCCACACTCTCATCCAAATATCGATTCTTGGATCCTTCAGACTAATGCCAGCTCGGCAAACCACAGCACTGTGCTCAGCACAATATGCTACACCAAAATAGATTCACTAACACGTCACACATTTCTTTTGCAACTCAAGTAAAAAACACAATTGTGGTTGGTCCATGAAGATATCGCTAAACGAACGAGAAAAAGTTTCATTGTTTTGTTTGATCTATAATCTTATGCTTGTAATTGCTTACTTCTCTAGAACTAGCTTCCTTGAAGACAGAATTTACTGAAATCTTGAGACAAACACACATGCATCATCTTGCAAATGTTACTAAAAACCGAGAATATGACTTCTGTTAAACTAGCCAACACAAAAATATTCTCAACATTACATTACATTCTTGCTTTTAACACTCATGACTCCAAAAAATATGCTAATCATAGATTGCACACCATGACTATTTAGCTTGCAATAAAAAACTAGGAGATATTGAAGATATTTAGACCAGTAATAAGCAACATGCATACATCCTTACAATGATGGAAAGCTTGCTGTACACCACAATCTTTTGCTTTTCTTCATTTTTATCTACAAGCATCACTCATTTGGTTATACATAAAGCGTGTGTTTTAAAAATAATAATTTATTCAGTGTGTGAATTAGACTTTTCGGCGCATTTATGACAAGTAATATCTAGTCATTACAGTGTGCAAATTAGCTACTAGCGTGGCGCAATCTGAGAGCGAAGTTGTTTAATTCAGTCATCTTAATGATCGACTCCCTTGTATCCATCAATTACCCACAAATTATTTACTCATTTTTCACCCTTTGTGTTATGGATATGAATGGATATAAGGCTCATCATGCATTATCATAAGTTGTTTTTTTCTTATTTTTAAATTCTGAAATTTGATTCAATGTTGGTCATATTGGCAAAAACGCTTGCCAATCAATCACAAAACGTTTTCAATGTAGCAAAAGGATTCGTCTTCAAAGCATCGCACCTTTGTCGAAAGACGTGATGTGGTCCTTGTTATTGACAAATGTTTGGCTATGAAATTTCTTTTGTTAGGCATTTTATAGTGTTGGTTGATCTTTCTCTATGCAATCTTTCTCTCAATCGACCAAGATTGCAGTTGTTAGTCGCTAGGTTGTTGCGGTCGCGCTCAGCCTTAACGCACGTCATCTTATTTGTTAATTTCAATAAAAACAAAGCTATTCTTCCAAAATAAATGTTCAATCAGCCACGCTTAAGCCTTGCAGCACATCAGAAGCACATGAGCCTTGACTATAAATGTGACAATTCACATTGTTGATTGTGACTCCAAAGCGCTTCACAAAAATATATTTCTCAAGCGGTATGTTTTTAAATTCTATATTCAATTTCAACTGTTCAATATTCATTGATAACAAGCGGGCATACAGAATTTTGATATCAATTTTTTGCTATGATTTGATAAAAGATTCAAAAATTGCATATTGATCAAGATGATGTTGACGAACTCAAGTATTGATCAAACCGCAACCGTCATCAGCCACCATCAATCATCCTGAACATAGACATGATTCTTTTCATCAATCTAAATCAGGAAATGATTACGATGTTGAATCATATAAGATGGATATGTTCAAAGTGAGTCTATCCAATTGTATTCCTATCAAGCAAGTGCTTAGCAATTCTAATTGCAAATTCTACTGGCAACGTAGATTTATGCTCAAATCGTGCAAAATTTGTAAAATAATTAATCATGCATCGAATGAAAACAATCATTGATGATAAGGTCAACTTGATGAGTAGTGTATTAAAAGCTCATCAAATTGAAGTCAAACTCCTTGTCAATTTGACTCACAACACCGAAATATCACCCTGTCATTGTGTTCACGTCAGTGCTCAAAGCAACAATTTGGCATCGGCTAGTTCTTCCAACAGTTTAGAAGAAGAGCATCAAGAATGTGTTAGATTATTGCACCAATGTTTAATGGGATATGTTGATTATAGAATGATACGACCATCAAATGCAAATTGTATAACTAGCCATTTGCTCAAAGACAAATTCAAATATCAATATACAAAATGTATCGATGAGTGGAATTGCCTCTAGCAAAAGCTAACGTTCAAATTTATTGAAATTTTAACACATCAAAGATGCGTTGTAGATTGATGACAACACTTACTCAAATATATAAGCTGATGTGATGATGGTTGACGCCAATACGCTTAACATTGTTGAAGGATTCTTTGTATTGATTGATAACCCTAGCAATTTGATGAAAAAATATTCTAATAGAGATGTGATCATTTATGTGACGTGAGGGAGAGCTTGAAGCATTTCATGTTTTTGATAGAGACTTGGTTCAAGTACATGATATTGGAAAATGGGATGAAAAGCTTCATACTCTTCAATGATAAAGCTTATGACTTGTCATTCACACAAAATAATAGTTTGCCGATGATATCATCCTATGACATCATTGTCCACATTGGCGTACTCCAAAATGAAAGTTGATTTTGCCTTGTTGAAGAAATGAATATTCTCTTCCTTTGAAGCTTTCTTGTATTGCTAACATTCTACTTTATGTGGGATGGAGTTGTGCTTGTCGTCATTCTCTTTGCGGAAGGAGCATTATAGTACTTGGTCATCTTTGTGCGTTAGCGTTCCGTGTCTTTCTTCTCAATTCGTTTGATATTGACGCAAAAGCAACACATCATGGACACGACCTGATACTTTGCATACTTCCATTGATTTGCAATCCGTACTCTAGGCGTGCTGATGCTAAAAAGGCATTTTGGGAAAGTAATCTTTGCTGGACATTGTGATTGGTCTTCATCGATGAGAACTAACGTCAGATTCAAAAATATGTAGAGTGAAATTTGGATTAACGAAGATGTACATTTTTATTTCATGTGCGCACTTTTTTATTTTTGTGGTTGCTCAAGCTTGAGAATTTATAAATGTGGCGTACAAAAATAAAATGCCACATGTTAGGAGACATGTTGGCTCTAAGTTTTAGAGCCAACTAGTATCAACGGCTGCGAGGTCCAAAATTTAGCTCGAGGAAAATTTTGATGCATGTCGTAGTGAATGATAGCATTCAACAAACTCTCCATCGTTCGCTCATAGAGATATGGAACTGAGTATGATTTCTGAACTGAAGATGCATTGAATTCTAATCCCTCTCGTCTCACACAAGCTTTGGAAGGCAAATTTATATTTCTTTATCAAACCGAAACATAGAACCATTCACACTTTGAAAGCTCCATAGCACAAAGCATGATTGACTAATATGAGTTAATATATATTTGTGATATATAGATTTCCTTCTGTCATTCCCGTTCCCCGATGTCAAATAAATGATTAGGTAGCTCCCCAGACTACAACCCATGAACCACAAGTAAAGTTTTACTCTCTTTAATTTTTGTCCAAGAAACATTTTGTGCATTCTTTTAAATTGCGTAACAACAATATCAGATCCATTAATTGACTGAATGCTGATATGGCGTTACCATTAAACGTAGAGTGCTATGTGGATTACTTCAAATGCTTCTTTTGTCGATATAAGAAGTAAACTGAACTTTGGGTGACATGGTTTAGTAAAGTTGACTTTTACTTAACAACCCAGTGAAATCATCTGTTAGTCATCCCTCTCCATTCCACATTCAGGGAAGTATCGAAATAGTTCATGCAACCACGAACGAACTACCCCTTGATCGGGGATATGTTCTCACATCCCTAAGCCAAGAAGATGGCACGTCTTTCTCTCACTTCTTGCGAGATTTGTTAGAGCTCTTATATTTTTCTATCATCACGCCCTAAGGGCGATAGAATTGGGGAAAACGAATGAAAAAAATCGTACGGGGTTATGAATAAAAATAGAAAAAATTGGACAATTTTTGACCGGTCTCAAAATCTTGCCCGACCTCATCTCAAGAGACAGATTGGATTAGGAAATAGGTTTGGAATATTGATTTTCGCCATTTTCCACGTATAAGGTTTTTTCCCGGACGGAACTGCGGACTGGACTGACTGGGATGCACTCAGCACGTCCGGTGGACGGAAGGCGGCCAAAGAAGAAAAGACGGAAGGAAGGCAGCACGAGGACGAGGACGAGGAAGGCGGGAAAGTGTGGTCTCGTACAAACGCTTGCCGTGGATGTGAGACGACGGTTCGTCGTTTCTGATTGTTCTCGTCCTAGCTCGACCTTTGCGAGCCTGTTGTCCGCGTCGAATAACTCAGAGAATTTGACGGATTTCTAAATTGTGAGTTTCTCCGAGTCCTCGCCTTTGGATTGGATTTCCCCGCATTGCCTTTGCATTTTCTCTGCATCGGTCGGAATTCTAAATTGTGAGTTTCTCCCAGTTCTCGTCTTTGGATTGGATTGCCCCGCCTTGCCTTTGCATTTGCTCTGCATTGGCGGGATTTCTAAATTGTGAGTTTTGCGAGTCCTCGTCTTTGCCTTGTCTTGCCTTTGCATTTGCTCTGCATTGGTCGGTGTGTCATGGCATGGCATGCCCCTGCCCCTGCCCCTCCCCCTCCCCCTGCCTCGTGAACGCAAATACTGGCTTCGGTGCTTAATATGCTTAATTCTGGGTTTGGCATCCGTGGCGTGGTGGAGGTTCTGAATGGGTACAAGCTTTCTCAAGTTTCGGGAACAACACTAACAAGCGATCGAGCTTCAGAGCTAGTCACGCCTCATTGTGTTAACTGATGGATGATTAGAAAAACTCGTTGTAATTTCAAGTCAGAGTCTCTTTAATGAACTTTTGTATTTTTATGAAGCTTAGAAGCTCCAGTCCCGAGTGAGTTCCAAAGCGACGATGATGGCCATGGCTCCTATGCAGCAAAGTTCTCAGCAATGGGTCGAGAAATAGTGAGTTTTGGTCCCAATTACCCCGGAATTTTCCTTTCCCTTCCTTCCTTTGATCGTTCTAGTGTAATGCGAGGGTTTTGCCGAGGACTCCCACTTCCGCTGAGAACTAAAACAGGAGAAAACAATTTTGTAGATGTAATGTTTCTAACGGAGACGTGTGCGTCTATTGTTGATGTTGCAGCCGTCCCAAACAGGTCAAAGATGTTGCCTACCAGGATGAAGTCGTTCGAACTCTGACGAACACTCTGGAGACCGGAAATGTGAGCAGCTTTTCGGGTATAGCACTATTGGCGTGAAGTCTGATTTTGTTCTTGTTCAGGCCGCGATTCTGAAAGATTGTGATGATATGCTGTATCGATCTTCTTTGTAGCATGTTGCTCAAACATAATATCTAACGGATGGTATTCTTCAGCTTCCTCACTTACTCTTCTATGGACCACCTGGAACTGGCAAAACCTCCACTGCTCTCGCACTCGCGCACCAATTATTCGGGTGAGGTCTTTGCTCCACCGATTTGCTTTCCGGCATTCAACTCTTCTTCAGGATGATTTGAGTTGAAGAGTCATCTTATCTCCACATCGTCATGCAGGCCAGTGCTGTACAAAGCACGTGTTCTGGAGCTGAATGCGAGTGATGACCGAGGCATAAATGTTGTTCGCACCAAAATCAAGGACTTCGCTGCAATAGCAGTGGGGAATTCTAATGCTGCAGGGTGTGTTGCTGAACCGTTGTTGTAGTTTTTGGGTCCTTCGAGTAACCCTACAATTGAAAATTTGTTCATCTCTAAGTGTGTCATGGGTCCTGCACATGAAGATGTCCTTAACATGGAAATAAATTCATCCTACGTGATCTGGCACACCTTGCACAATAAACCACACCAGCTCGTGACAGTAGAGCATATGTTCTGTAGGTTCATCCCGTGGACGATTTAGTAACCATCAAAATCTGGAGTTCATTATTTTTTGTTTCTGGTTAACATCGAAATTTAGCTCATACCAAGACTAACCTCTTATTGCAGTGACTATCCGTGCCCTCCTTTCAAGATTATCATTCTGGATGAGGCGGATTCAATGACTGAGGATGCTCAGGTACTCCACATGCTGTACAACTTTTTGGCCTTCTCTGAAAGAAATTTTTCTAGCGAACTTTCAGCATTCATGCAGGAGCGAGTTAAATACTGCAGTTTTACCTTGATTCCTATTCAGTTCCTAGATGCCTTGTGACACATACGACACATGTTCCTGGTTTGCAGAACGCGCTGCGAAGAACAATGGAGACCTACTCCAAAGTGACGCGCTTTTGCTTCATCTGCAACTACGTGAGCAGGTACTTCAGCTACTACTTTCTCAATGGACCCACGTTTTTTGGAGCAGACTCAATTAACTAGTTTCCCTTACGGTTGTATTTTTCCCTGACTGCTTTTTCAGGATCATAGAACCGCTGGCATCACGTTGTGCAAAATATAGATTTAAACCTCTCAATGAAGAAATTATGACAACTCGCATCAAGTTTGTCTGTCAAGAAGAAGGGATCCAACTCAACTCTGAGGTGTGTTTTCGTGAAAAATTAGTCATATGTGGGCTGCCCGGTATCCTTCCTTCGTCTGAAAGCGTCTTCGATATGTTTGGCGTATGTTTACAGATTGCAGCAAGGTTGCTTCAAATTACTCTGTCTTGCAAAATGTCTTCACAAGGATTGTGGAATTTACTTATATTGACGAAACCTGCAGCATATTTTGTGGCGGGTGTAGGCATTATCAACTCTCAGCAAAGTCTCTGGAGGGGATCTTCGACGAGCAATTACTTGCTTGCAGGTCTCCATCATTGCAACCTCCGCTTGTGACTGATCGCCCCATGCTTTCGCATTCATCAAACTGCAAATTCATTGTTATCAGCCTCGGCTCTTCATGGGCAAACTGAACCTTGTACTTTGACCAGTCCACATAGCATTAAGCTCTTGTAGTCGGTTTTCACTGAGCAGAGCGCTGCACGACTCTACGGATCTTCAATCTCAAGCGATAATATCATCAGTGTTTCCGGGGTACTTCCAGTCATGCCTTTATCTCCCCTATATTACTGAACTTAAATGATTTGTAGCCAAAGAGCCTATCTAGATGTATGTCAGTTACACCGTTTATTGCTTAACTTTCAAAACATAATAATACTACACGATGCTACTTTTACTGAGAAGCAATTCGGAATTATTACAATGAACTGGAGAGTCTAGCTTGAAAGGACTTTCCTCTTTGTGCAGAGTGGTAAACCATCATGGAAATAGTTTTGATTTTCTCTTCGTACGCACGACTCTGTTATTTGCGGTGTAATCAGTGACCTTACTACGTCTTTGCGAAGGTCGTTCCCGACGAAATATTGGATTCGCTTCTGGTTGCGTGCAAGAGTGGCCAGTTCGACAAGGCCCAAGGTGTTGTAACGAATATTATCGCGGAGGGGCACCCAGCGTCTCAGATTCTCAGTCAGGTATGCCATTGATAGATGGACTCTGGTGACCATTTTGACAGTGATAGTACTCTAGGTTTTGTTATAAAGTTCCGCTCGTTCAGCTACGGAAGGATCTAAGGTTGAATGTTGTTACTTTTCCAAATATTGATGCCCAGAACTGATTACTATTAGGTGTAACGGACTTGCAGTTATTTGACATTGTGGTGAAAGCCTCTGATATCACTGATGAACAGAAGGCACGAATATTAGAGAGAATCGCCGAAACCGACAAGGTAGTATGGGACCGCTTTTTATCATTCGGAAGCATGTCAGATTTGCAATCACTTGAAAGGTCATACATTTCCAGGTGTCCCCTAATGGGCCCGTTGTCTTAGACTGCATGTACCGCCAGATAGGGCTCCTCAAAAGAGCGAGTGCTGACGGTGTTGTGCCTATGTAGAGAAGTCAGTAATGCTTCTACATTTCTTTCTTGGCTAAAATGGTGAGTTCCGCTTTGGGCAGGCATTAATTGATGGAGCTGATGAGTTTCTGCAACTTCTGGACGTGTCGAGTAACACTCTGGGAGCTTTTTGTAACTTAGCGCGAGAAACCTCAGCCTTCTAGTGTATATTCTCCCGACTGGCACGGACTAGCGGGTAGACTTGTAAATTACATCCGTCCTTAGTGCACGAACTGAAGTTCATCATCTCCACGATATATGTTATGTTTTAGGGGTCAGCTTTTGAATGGTTTAAAATTAATCCTTCGATCATTTCTCTGTTTAAAGAAGGGGAGACGACAACTGGTAGAGGGATTTGCGTATTACCAAAATAGAAGATGGAAGTATCAGTGCTTGACCACGTTCTACGCGACGTACCAACTGTCCTTTACACTCTTCAATAGATTCTAAATTCGACTAGATGAAAATGGACATTGTTTGCAAGGCCTTTGAGCCAGAAGAGATACTACGTTGCATACTTCATGAGCTCGGAGTGGACTCCACGATTTATTGATGCTTGCCTTACTCTCCGAGACAACTGAAGTTCTTGTAGTTCTTTTTGCGCAACAACGCGCATGTCGTAGCGTGGAGCATAGGGGAGTTGTCTCAAATTTCGGGCGCTGTCAGCTCACATTAAAAGAAGACCTTCAATGTGCAAAAGGATGTCCAATTTGATTAAGCGCCAAGATGACGAACACCTCCGAAAGTTAATATCATGGACAAATACGCGGAAGCCTTTCACAGGCATGAGTGACACAACAAGGTTCAATCATCGTCAATTTAGACACCGGGCCTGTGATGTGTCGAGAGACCTACCTCAGAGGTAACCTCAGTGAGTGTTTGCGTGGAGAATGAACAGAGAGACAACTCCACATATTGGGAATTGTGGTGGAGAGGAACGGGGGCTCACCGGTAATGATGAGCTAGGACGAAGTTAAGACCGGTAGAGAAGCCAAAGCTCGGTGATGTAGAGTCATCTGAGAACCAGTATTAGGGGTAATAGAACGTGGACAAGTTTCAGTCTCTGGCCGCAGGCTTGAGGACAAGGTTGTAGCTTCAGAATGCATCCGATTAACGAAAAAATTGGTGATAAAGATCGACACTGCCTATAACGTGACGACTATACAGGACATTTATGCTGTTTGCCTCGACGCTTGCCATGTCTGATTGAGTCGTACCCAGTACCCTGTTCAGTTACTTGAAAGGAGCCCTAAAAAAACATCATCATACTGTTTCAGATACATTCATGTTCAGTGCCACACTACCGGTCACACCGAGCGCAAAATTCACAAGGACTACAAAACTCTATCATTTCCACATCCCCGATAAACTTCCTCCCACTCCCGGTTCCAAACCAGTTTCTTGCTCAAGGGGCCTGCCTGCCCTGGAGAAAAATCGGTCATGTCTTGAATTCCAAGGCCCGAGAAATGCAAATCACTGCCAAGGAGCCGGTCAAATACGGATTCCCTTGCTCCTGCCCAATGGAAAGAATCGTCCACGAAGGAGGACACTCCGAGCATTCTTGTAACTCGGTGATTGTGCAGGTAAGCGACCAAACGGGACACGTACGTGGAGCGGAACATGAAGCTCCGAAAGCATGCAAACGGCTCCTAATCAGACGTACCGTACGTGAGTCATTCGCCACGAGGGACGAAAGAAGTAGTATACAAGTTAGGGCGCGGTGTACAGACGACGGTAGGACGTACGCGGGCGAGACTGGAATGGCGGCGGCAACCGTTGAGAGTCGAGAAGGCGAAGAGAAAGAAGTACCGTGCCGTACCGTACATGGTATGGAGTATGCGTATATCCATCCGGGTGGGACCCACGTGGGCTGCTGGCTCTTCGGACATAGAGCGCTCGGGAGTCGGGGTCGGGGTGGCGAGAAGGCGAGAAGGTTTCGCTGCTTGCGATAATCAGATCGAGTGTCGCAAATTGGTCCTTCCCTGCACTGCTGCTCGCGAACCTCTCGGGCGTTCGTTGCTCACCGACGGAGAGACGCAGGCGCGAGGCCACACAGAGCTTGCGCGGTGCAATCGGCAGGACTCGACTCGGACACACGAGCGATGGACGCGGCCAAGCTCTCAGAGCTCAAGCTGTTCGTGGGGCAATGTGAGGCGAACCCGTCTTTGCTGCAGAACCCACAGCTGCGCTTCTTTCGAAACTATTTGGAGAAGTGAGTGCTTTCTTGTGTGTGCGTGCGACGTTCGTTGTAAGTTGCGGTCTTCTTGTTCGCCCTATGGTTGCTAGGTGCAAGAACCAGCAGCTTTGATCGCCGTTCCCTTTCTCCATCGAGGATCGGTTGATCGTGCTTTGGGAGTTTGCTTTTCGTCCATATGGGACTGCATTTGAAACCGTTTTGGACTTTTCCCCCCGACGAACGTTTACCCCTTCCTCTGAGTCCTTGATTTCTTGACTCGCCTACGCTTTGCTTCACTTTCTCCTGGCATCCTCTTACTCAATAAAATATTGACTCTTTGCAGGCTCGGAGCCAAGGTGCCAGCTGCTGCCTACGCGAAAAATGAACAACCAAAGGCAACAGAATGGGTAAATTACCTTCGTGATCATCTAGCAGTGAGAAGATCTAGGTTTTTTAAAAGTGTAAGAAACATTGTTGGTACGTTTTCACTTCCAACCAGCATGGATAACAGTTCAGTTTTGTCGCATACTGGAGGAGTTGCGTGTCAGAGAATGTTGAGTAGTCTTGCATATTTTTACTAAACCCTACAAGCATACTGTGAGACGTGAAGATACCGGTCAAATTTACGATTGGTTCTGCTGTAGACAGTTTGTTTGGTGATGTTGTAAATGAAGAGGAGCATGGCCTTCACGGCAGCCAGTAGTATACGTGCACACATTATGTTATGGATTTGTTGGCTGTTTCTCACGTTCATGTTCTGAGAATTTACGAGGTTCCAAATTGAAATTGGCATTTTTAGCCTTCCAGTAGTTTGTTTGTTGCAAAAGCTAGCGATGCTGTGAACTGGGTATGGTCGCAAGCTTTCACTCCTCACATTTTTGAGGTTTTAGGTTATCAACTCCAATGCAAACAGAGATGTGCGATTTTTTGTGATGATTTCAGGTGGTGAAAATTGAAGTGCCCTTAGTTGCGTGGGCTTGTAATTTGACAGGATAAAGAATCTGGCGAAGATAGCGACGCAGACATGCCAGAACTGGAAGAGCAGTTTGGGTCACCTAAGCAGCCGGACACCAATCCTAAGGCCTGGGAAGAAGAAATCCCTGAAGTAGTGGAGTCAGATCTTGAACTGGATGATGAAGGAGTCACTGCTCCGGATAATGAACCTCCTCAAAAGGTGAATGCTCTATTCTTGATTGCTCCGTCAAGGAGAGAGGTGATAACTACACCATATGGCTCGCTCTTAGAGGATATTTTAGCGCGTCTGTATGCAGCTTCAGTGTGATCGATGCCCAAATCCCTCTCTCCTGAAGTTATCAACTTTATAGTCTGTTACGTAGTGTTAGGTCGGTGTATGTCGGACTCTGAAATTGCTTAAAAAATTCCAACTCTTAAGTTCTCGCCGAGGCTGGAAGATTATGACAGAAAAGAGTAGACGGTCCTTCTTTTTCAAATTAAGGACTGAATTACGAAACTTCAGCGCGCGTGAGCCTCCAATTCTTCAGAAGGCGTGACTGATGTCATAGATGAGCTTGTCCTTGGCTTGAGAGGATAACGGCCAAAGATTAAAACAGGGTGATTGGAAAGATGGTTGTTTGTTCTGATGATGTTGAAGCGCGAGTGCTTCAATGTCATCGAAGCATAGATTTATCTCTCTGGAACATCTTACTGGTATGCGAGACGGATTTGTCGTACTCTACTGATTTTCAATGTCTGGCAATCCTAAGGGAAGAGTGATCTTACAAATCACTCTTGATAGACCTGTGTTAGGATGCTGTTGAAGCAACTAGGTATGGAGAATCAGTAATGTCAAAACATCCATCCAGATGTCTGAACTGCTCACCAGTACGCTATTTATCGGTAGTGCTACTAGTTGAAGTGCGGAGATACAATTATCGGAGAGCTGGGCCTTTGATCTCGTGATAAAGTCCATTTGATCGCAACATCAAATTTGGAGACGTGGGAACGTTGTATGATGATGTCGAACATTGTTTCGAATCATCATCCCCATCGTAGCTAGGCCTCTTGGCCTCCCTCTTACTAACAGGATATCATTAGTTGTAGGTATGTATACCATGTCGATTAGTGACTGATAATGGATGAATGTATTTGTTTGGATTTCTTGTGTTTCAGATGGGTGATCAATCAATCGAGGTTACTGAGGAGATGCGGGATGCTGCACAGGAATCGAAGAGCAAGGCTTTGGATGCTATGATGGAAGGCGAGCATATTATCAAAAACCAAGAAGTCATTGTCATTCTTCACTACGTTTCCTTCTTCAAGTGCAAGCATGATATTAATGTTCATCTGTTGTTGTTCCAGGCAAAATGGATGAGGCTGTCTCTCACTTTACCGACGCCATTTTATCGAACCCAACATCGTCAATTCTTTACGCCAACCGAGGTGATTAACTTCTTATTTTGCTGAAATTCAGAATGCAAGACAATGTAAATACTATGTCTTTTTAGTGAAAGAAGATTATTTGTTACGAAATTTGTTAATAGTGCACTTAGAGCGGAAGTTATCGCTGGTCAATCTGGCAGGACATAGTTCGCCAAAGCTTTCGTCTTCATATGCTGGCAACTCTGTTTCTGGTCTCAAAAATTCAGAGGTGAAATCAAGTTGATGAACAATCTCGTTAGAGTGCTGTCTAGTTTGGTTACTACCAATAATTTAAGACTATGTATAGTATCTGTCTCTGATTGTGAGTGAACTTGCAGCCAGTGTTTACTTGAAGATGAAGAAACCCAATGCCGCTATAAGAGACGCCGATGCTGCCATTAAGGTACTTCTTTGCGCTCCTTCTTCTAACTTTCTCTGGTTATTGAGAGAACCCTCTTTCCTGAAGATTAACAGATGTAAAGACTGATAAAGGTGGACAACCTGCTCAAGTTTGATAAAGAGGAAAGGTTAACCTTTTTTCTTGGATCAAAGTTCGTCCAGTTGGTCTGATATATCTACATTCTCTCAAGACGCCAAATAGCTGATCAACCTGTAAATTTTGTTCTTAAATCTCATGATCAGATGAGAAGGGTTTCACTGAGTGTCAGCATCATTCCGCAACGCTCTTAAATCTAGGCATCGATTATGAATTCGATACAAAACGGACATTAACACTCGGATTCGCGGATGTCGCAGATCAATCCAGACTCTGCCAAAGGTTACAAGTGGAGAGGGGAGGCGAAAGCTCTCCTTGGAGAGTGGGAAGAAGCTGCAAAGGATCTTCATGTAGCTTCCAAATTAGACTATGATGAAGAAATTGGTGTGATTTTGAAGAAGGTTAACCCCACCTATCAAAGTCGCCTTCGTCTATTCCAGTGGATGAATTTGCCACATGTTTCCGAATCATCGCACCGGTTTCTGATAGATGAGCACGTGTTTAGAATTATTCTCAGGACTTGTACCCGACCGAGCTGATCATTTGCCGAAATTTGACTCGTTAAGTCTTAGTTATATTTCACATCGTTGGCTTTACTTCATTTATATCCGAACAAATGAAGAACATGGTTGATGCCAACTTTCTAACTTACGTCTCAAACTTTCGATCTTTCAGGTGGAGCCAAATGTCCACAAAATTGAGGAGCACAGGAGGAAGTATGACCGCTTGCGTAAGGAAAGAGAGGAGAGGAAGGCCGAGAATGATAGACAGCGACGCAAAGCAGAGGCACAGGTATTAGTCGGCTTAGTTTCACCACCATCTTCTCGTACTTGAAGCTCTCGATGTCTGGACGTCACCGGTTTTAAATTTGCACGGTGGGAATCTCCCGTTGGTCTTAGTACTGATTATGACCAGTGAAGCTTATTTACATAAATGTATGGTGTGGTTCAGGCTGCTTACGAGGCTGCAAAGAAAAAAGAGAAATCATCTTCGAGCAGGAGGCCAGGAGCCTCTCCCGGGGGTATGCCTGGAGGGTTTGGGGGCATGCCTGGCTTCGGAGGTATGCCAGGTATGGGTGGAGGTATGCCTGGAGGCATGGGAGGGATGCCAGGGTTCGGAGGCATGCCTGGTATGGGAGGAGGGATGCCTGGTGGAGGACCCGGAGGTATCGACATGAGTAAGATCTTGAGTGTAAGATTCTCACTTTCTCACGGGGTTATGGACTAGTTTTCTTTTTATCGTGGCACTTCTGCAAGCGAGCTTTGTAGCTCTTAATATCGATTAGACTTGGTTAAAAATCTTGAACCTCTCTTTTTTACTTTAATAGGTAGTTTTCGCCTGCTGGCCAGCAGCAACCAGTGTTCGAAACTCACATTGTTGATGTTGACAGAAAGCATGGCGATTGTTTACATGTTCTTCACCTTTTCCAGCCAGTATTTTTAACTCAAGTTTTTTTTTGGTCTTACGCCGTCCTTCCTTTCAGCGCGTTTGTCTTTTTCTCTCTTCTGTCTCTTCTTAGCTGATGATAAACTATCCTTGTGTTTGGTATTTGTTGCATAGTCTTCCATCTTTTTATACGATTTACTTCTATCCTCGAGTTGGGCAGACACGGGAGAGTTTACTCTCAGTTGAACGACCTTCGATGCAATTCTTCTACGTATCGGAGAGTTCTAAATAAGAAGGAGCGCAGCCAGTCTAAATGACTATTGACGTTTATGTGCAAGTCTCGGAAAGAGTCAGTTGATTATGTGTATTAAGCTTCCACATACCTAGCTTATTATCTTAAAGTCACTGTCTTTTCCTTCTCTGCTGATGCAGGATCCTGACTTATTGGCTGCTTTCCAAGATCCCGAAATTATGGCTGCACTGCAAGATGGTAAGCAACCATGCCACGACAGCTTTGACATTTACTTAAAACTTTTTATTCGGTTGTCTCCTTTTAAGCTTCCTTCATATCTCTTCTTTTGTTTGATTGAAGCCCTCGTGTTAGATATGTGTATTCATTACCTCAAGCTTTATTGTGTGCTAATGCGTGCAGTCATGAAGAATCCAGCCAACCTTGCTAAGCATCAAGGCAACCCTAAAGTTGCACCTGTGATAGCTAAGATGTTCAGCAAGATGTCAGGAGGTGCTGCCGATGCGGGCGCAGAAGCATAGACCAGCAACACGTAGTGAGAGAGGAAGAAGTAGAGGTAGGATTAGTCCCACTGATTGTAGGGATTACTGTTATATAGTGCTTCCAAGATTCAGAAACTTTGGAGTCGGAGTGGGAGGTATCGTGTGAGCTTCTTTTTAATATGGCATTCGATTTTCAAAGGAGTTGGAGAGCATGAATTCTTATCTCCCTACATGCCTACCAGGCTCCGCATAGATTCTTCCCAAGTGCCAATTTCCGCGTCGTTAATTGTAGAATTTCAGAATGAATACGGAGTAGGACTGTAAAACAAGAGTTTATCAATGGAACCAGTTTTTTTTTTCTTCTTGATCATGTTGAAGCTTTGCGGAGACGATTATTTCATACCAATCAGGAAGTGGGAAAGATGTGCAGGCGTCGTTTTATACTCGCCAGATATAGCAAGTAGTACAAAACGATCACTCGGATTGTTGCAAGATTGAGGCAGGTCTACTCCATAGGGTCCATGGAGGTGGAATCGTAGGCTTACAAGGTATCTGACTTAGCTACAATGCCGAGGTCTCAAGGAGAATGCCAGTCTTTTGAGAACTGATTGAGGTGTTGCGTCTGTTGTCTGTCTTAAACGATGGTCTCCTAGCTTGAGCACATTAACGGTGCTCAGTTGTGGAGTGATGGATGTATCGTTCATCTGCACAGTGGCAGCACTGGAAGGCTTAGACAGTTGCGTGGCAGCTAGAATTCGAACGTAGTTACTGTAGGAAAGTGCAGGTTATGTCGCTGCCTCCCCTTTCCAACATCATTAATACTGGAACATGGTGACATCAAGTAAAGGTTCAGAACGCTGAACTAGCGGACATTAAAACGAGACAATATTATTCTTTTACGGGGTTTAGGGTTTAATCAACCAACCAGACCAACAAAACTAGAAATTTAGGATCTAACCAAAATTTCATCTTTAACCGAAGGAATCTTTTGCTGCAAAGACCAAGAAACATTACAGTTTCAAGATTTGAGTGGAGTAGAGTTGATTAATACGGAAGCTGTTTCTTTTGGATTAATATTTAAGTGGAGTAGAGTTACTAGCATCAAATTAAATTAAAAAACTTTTAATAAAATGTAAATTATAAATTTTTGAAGATTATGATTTTGAAGAAACTCATGATGTTAATTTCATTGCGTTGATTTAAAAAAAAAAAATATGATAGAAAAATCCAAACTTTAATAAATAAACTTGAAAGATAGTTCTATAGATTGTGAGTTGCAATTAATGGATAACAGAACTAATGAATTTTTAAAAAAATCAAAACTAGATTGATGTACAAATTAAAGTACAATACAGTAAATGACAAGAGTAAGATTTTCAAAACCCGATTGAGTATTAGAGTTTTCACACAAGAATAAATTGTAAACTATAACAAAATTTTCCCATCAATATCAAAGTATTTTACAATACATCTGTGCATTTGTTGCAATATTTAGTTTGACATTGAAAAAAATTAATATAATTATAACTTTTTTTGATTGATTTGTGAAGAAAGAAATTTACATAAGACACTAATTGGTTTTGATTAAAAATTTCAAAAAATTTTGGTTTGTACATTGCTAAAGTTGTTATACATATTGAAATAAACTCTTAAGCAAGGAAATGAAAATTTTGATAAATTTAAAAATCATGATGATTTTCATAGAATGTGTACAATATAAGTTTTTACATGAAAAAACTGTTTAATGAAAACATTCACTATGTTAATCTTCATTGTGATAATCATATTGTCTTATATTTTACTATGAATCAAGAGATTGACAACAAAATGAAACACACCAACATTATATATATCATGTGATTAAATATGCAAGTTTTTATAAAAGAATTTAATTAGTCGATAATGACAATAAATTAAATCAATGTGTTGATCAAATTTATTCAATCAAATATTTTTAACATATATTATGCTTTTTTGCAAGTTTTGAATGAAGATCACAAATTGTATTTTATTAGCATTTTTTTGTTATATATTTTATATATTCTGAATTTTTATTTATTTATTTTATCATATTCTGATTAAATTTATCATATGTTGATCAAATTTATTCACTCAAATACTTTTAGCATAAATTATGCTTTTTTGCAAGTTTTGAATGAAGATCACAAATAGAATATACTAGCATTTTTTTGTTATATATTTTATATATTCTGAATTTATATAAAATAATTTTTTATCATATTTTGATTACAATTTAGTTTTAACTAAATCTAGATTAAAGAAAGTACTATGTTCAATTTTTTTATAAAAGTTTTTGTACATTAATTATATGGATTATGAAGAGAACTATCTAAAAAATTGAGAACACAAATTCATAAAAAAAAAGGCGTACATGTATATATGTGATTTGTCACTAATTCGCTAATTTCACATGAACATCAATTTCATCAAAAACCTAAATAATGTTATGAACCTAATGTTAATGTTACTACGTTTTGACTTCTAATATGGAGGTTAGCAAAATTCTAAATCTAACCCAAGCCAAATAGTTTGTTTTTCTGTTTTTGCTGCCACTAAAATTCAATTTGGTTATGTACTTAGGCACGAAACTTTATAAAATAAATCTCCAATTAATACATCCATTTCAGATGTTAACAAATACCATAGTGAGCATCAAAGGAAACTGCCAAGTATTTGACATTGTCAAATAAGACATCAAAAAAATAATCTTTAGTACTCTTCAGATAATTAAAATCCATTTTTTTTACTATTCAAACTAATTTTTCTAAATTTCACACGTACTCATCATTTTGTCTATAGCTAGAGCAATATCAAATCTTGTGTATATCATCAAATTAATGGTTGACCACTTTTTTATTACAGAAAATTGATGACTTTTTTCTTCTTAATGGTATTGATTTGACATTGAGCTATATAAAATTTGAAGTGTGCTGCTAAAGAAATTTCACACATTTTCAACATCTGTCAGTTTAAACATGTGAAACACGTGTTGAAAATTTTGCCTTGACTCAATCATAAAAAAAATAAAAAATCTAATTTGTCATGAATATTCATTCCTAATATACTCTTGATCTTACTTAGTACTTCATCTTGAATGCATAGTTCATCTTGTTCTTCCAACTGTCAATGTTGGATTGATCATTTGCCAAGATAAACATATTATACACCTAGAGTCATAAACTAATGAGATTGAAAATCTTAATTTACAACTTCTTCACGTATACACATGGATAGTACACACTACGTTGAAATCATTGTGATTTTACAAACTTATCAATTTTTTCAATTCACTACTTAAGAATTTGCTTCAATTCATATAATGATTTTAGCAATCTACAAATCAATTTTTGTTTATACTTTTTATCAAATTGTTTCATGTACAAAAAAAATTTCTTTCAAAATTCATAGAAAAATATTTTAACTACATCAATTGTATCTATAAACAGATTAAATATTGCAGCAAGTGCACATATCATTGAATTTTACTATAGTTTGCTACAATTCAACTAGTGTAAACTACATCAAAGTTTTTTAATTCGTAACATATTTTGCTACAGGTGAAAAAGCTTTGATAAAGTTTACAATATTTTTTTTTGTGAAACCTCTAGCCATCAATCTAACTTGAAAATTCTTTTCTTGTCATTTAATAGTTTTTTTTAGCTTGTACATCCATTTGCTCTTAATCAAAATTTGATTCCTTGAAAACTATAGTAGCTTTTCTAATGTTCAATCCGTCTTGATCTTGATACTAATTCTAAAATCAATAACACAATATTCACTCAAAAAATACCACACAAATGCACACTTTGGACACATTCTTGGTTTGCCACTGTCGGCTTACATCCATAAGAACAAAAATGTGTTTACTAAAAAGATAAACAGTAGTCAAGGCAGACTACCCTTCACTCTTCAACATAATGTGTAACAAATATTCTAAAATTAATCAGGACTAAGCTCTTAAAATTTAATCTGAGATTTGAGTTTACCATTGTTTCACAACATGATTTAAGAGAAAGTTTGTTATTATTAACTTCATTTTGAATTAAACTCAAGTATTTTAATCTTAATTAAGGTAAATTTTGCTCTTCGTTTTTTGTGAAGATGTCTAAACGTCTATTTAAATAACTTTTTTAATTATATTTTATAATTAAATTTTAATAAAAAAAAATTCCGTGATTTTTATTTTTTCTGATGTTGCATGTGTTTGCCTTGTGCTTTCTTGAATCTACATTTTCTATGTTCATGATTTTTTGTGTGAAAAACATTTGATAATTATTTCTCGTGAAAAATATACAACAAAATTCAAATGTAGATAGTAGTAATCTACCTAAAATATTTTTATGTATATAAATACAAATCATTATTCTTTTATACAAATATTTTGTTCCAAAACTACTTATATCTTAGTTCATTGTTAAAGATTTCCAAGATGAATCTATCAAAAAATAGAAAGAAGACAAATGAATGTTCAATAATCCAAACAATATAGTGAAAATATTTTTCCACTTATGTTTCAAGTTTCAAATTTTGACAAAAAATTATTTCTAAAACATTTAATGCACGTTGTTGAAAATAGAAAATGAATTTTACCAAAATTTGAAGAATAATTTTGTATTTTACATTTTAGTACAAATATTGTAATGGATGCAACGATGATGTATCTTGTAACCATAATATTGGCAGATCTGACGGTTTATACAAATATAGTTTCAAACTATCAATATTTGATTTGTAATCATAGTACTATAATAAATATGCTGGTTATTAATCCTACGAATGATACTATTTTGAATTGTTGGATTTCAATCTTTCTTGATGAAAAGAAAAACTAAAGATTTGATAATCAAGTTATTAATATATATATATATATATGTAAAAAAAAAATATCACAAGATTCTAGTCTTGAAGATATAAAGTTATTAACGACAACTTTTCCAAACATGGAAAAGTTGCATGCTCTCTCACAAACATGTGAAAGTTTGAAAGAATTTAGTATGCAAGTATGCATGCAGTACCAAAAAATCAATTTTTTATGTATGATGAATTAGATCACATGTTCTTAATGTTTCAAAATTATCAATAGCTAAGTTTATCCATAGAACAAAAATCACGATAGATGAATAATCATAAGCTTATGTTAATGTTGTGGATAGATGGTTTGATCAAGATAATTTAGATATAAAGTATGTATTAAGACATGATCATTATTGTGATGTTATTGGTTTAAACTTATGTTATATGTTAGTGTTTTTCTTCACTCTTCACTTACTTCCTATCACTGCTTCGCGAGAAGAGATAAATAGTTACAAAGAAGTGTTGAGCTTGTTATAAGATTCATTCTCTTTAAGCTCATCCATCAGGGCTATGAAACATTGGATGTTTGAAGTAGTAACCACTAAGGATTTCTATAAATCCTTAAGCGTGCAGTGCAAAGTTATTTTGCAATTTATTAAATGATCTTATTGATTATTTTAGAAGAATCAAACAAGTATCAAAAAATGGATGAAAGAATACCACCAACTTATGCATGATAAAATCAGTTGGATATCATCTCGTTGTGATGCGTTTGGGGTTTCTATATAAAACAATACTAAATTTTTCAATAATGAAGAAAACTTATCATTTTGGAAAGTAAGATCAGACTTGATTTTGTGAGTTTGGTACTCTCTATAAAGAACAAAGAATAACTACCTGACAACTACCCATGAGATGGAAAATAGCCAGACAGCTCGAACATGTCATATACTTTCGGTTTTACGCCCGTAAGATTAAGCTGGGGTAGTTTATGAGCCTCCTGATCTGTCTATCCGAATATGCATGCACCTAGCAACTCTTCGGTCCTGAATCCTTAATTATGGCCGCCTGCCTGAGAAAATTGATGATTTTAAGCTCGCTGGCTTACAATCATCGACAGAGGAGAAATCTCCAGTGTCAGCCAGGCAAATCTCGAGACTGGGATTCCTCTCGTTCATAGCTCGCTGCACACCGTTGCTTTCTTCCGCCCTCCGCCAACGGTCCACAATCCCCGCACTCATGTCATCTGGTTGCAGATTCTGGCGCCCCTGACTCGTCGCGACCGGCGACGCGCATGCGACGGGAGGTCTCGTCGCAGAAGTCCAGAACCCGTCGCTGCCATGAGCACGCCCTCGTTCTCAGGGTCGGTACTCCGGTCCACTGAAATAAAGCCCATCCGGGAAAGTACACGATCCGTGGGGGGGCCACGTGGGCAGGCTTGTCTACTTGTGCCATATGGCAACTCGCTCTAGGCGGAACTGAGCAAAAACAAAGCGCGTGCTGAAGACAATTGGCAGGATCAGTGGCGACTTTAATATGACATGACATGGCATGTATGGTCTGGTGGGGACGAGACCGGACCATGGTTACAGCTAGCACCAGAGATAAGCACCATCCGACGTGACGTGGATTCAGATGCCCAGGACCCAGGTCATGTGACACACTGGCTCCCCTGACCATCTTTGGATTCTTCCTGACAACGACAAGTGCAGCCGTCCGATCATCCGAGACGAGCCGAGCGCGCGTCGTTACATCTCTCTCTCGGCCGACAACCCAACCAACGGCGTGCGTCTGCAATCCGAACGGCGTAGGTCCCGACAAACTGCGTCATTATCGTCGACCATGATGAACTCACTCCATCTGAATGAGACTTGACCGAGATCCGGCCCCAAATGCGCACTGAAAGCCAACCGCAGCGCCCTGCGTCCCCGCCTGAAAAAGCAGGAGCCAAGTAGCCAGGCTACCGCGTAGGTCAAATAAAACATCAACCCTCGTCCCCGCCACCCCCGGCCGATGAGAAGGAGAAGGAAAAATCACACGAAGCCACAAAAAAATAATGCACGAGAGAAAGATTTGCGACTCTCGAGATTGGGAGGTGCGGTTCGAACCCCGCAGGCTGGCTGCAGGCTCGCTCGTCTTCCTGAGAAGAGAGAACGGCGAACGGTGGGCGGGAGGGGCGCCACTGGACCCCCGGATCTTGGCAGTGGGGCTCGGATCCCACGGTCAGAGGTTAAAGGAAGACGCAGGCGGAAGCCGATGATTCAATAGAAAGGCGGATATCTGGCCACCCAATATCCATCGAAGGCTCGCTCTCGTGACCCGTCGTGAGGAGCTCACGACGCAAGAAGGCCGCGGAAGTACGAGGACGACGAGCAGAGCGAAGCCCGAGCAATGTAACGGACGTCGAACTTGGCGCCAACAGCAGCCTCTTCGCAGAACCCCGATGCGCAACGACGACGAAGACGAGGACTGATTCTTGTGTAAAGTCTGATAATCTGATGGCCGATCAGGTCAGCTCGCTTTGTGACGATTAGTCGACAATCCGTGCCCGCGGCGGGGACAGGATCGGAGGTTCGAGACGATCGTGAAGAAAGACGGAGATCAAGATCATCGAGAGAGTGAGATTGAGAAATGGATGTGCACCTGCACGGAGCTTGTATGGGGAAATTGGTCGGACCGGCGGGAGGTGGCGGGGGAGGAGGAGGGCCAGGGCCGGGGGTGTCGACGCAATTCCGTGTCATGCCCAACGGGCTGCCTTCGGACTGCATCAGCACCGACTGGGACAGAATCCATGCCGTGGGCCACTTCCCATCGCTGACGCTGCGCGTGGCGACGCCTTCTCCGCATCGGACTTTCAGCCCGGAGCCCTTGAAGATCAGCGACGAGTTCATCTCCTCGGGCTCAAATTCGCCTGCGCAGGATGCTCTCAATGGCTTTCTGCTGCACGACATCCCCGCGGGAGTTCGTCGCCCTTCGCTCACCCCCACGACCTCCGGCAATGCTCTGTCGAAGCTCCTGGACAAAAAACCCGCTGCCCGCCTTCAAGACGACGGCGATGTTCCTGAGGTTCTTGGCGCCGCAGGCTCCTTCGTGCTCAATTGAGGTATCCATCCCGCCTTCCTTCAGTGCTCTCGCCCTGACGACTCGACTTTCCTCTTTCTCCTCTACCTCTCCGTGCACGTGAACGGCAGACTCCGTTCTCTTCAATTCCTCTCGACCCTCGGGGCCGAGATCGTGTGTGTCGTGTAGATGTGGTTCATTGCTTGAGTAGACAATGTGGAATGAATGTGCGAGAACGCCGTCATTTTGAAACAGTTCGGATCATCTTGATGACGAGGATACGTTTGTAGGACTGAGTGCAGGAATGCCGAGAGTTCTCAAAGCGAGGGGTTCCCTCACTCGATCTGAAATCTGAAGTACCACTTACAATGGGACCTTCGCGATAGACTTGTCCGGCCCATCCTGTATTTATTTCTCAGGAAGCCGTTGCGTTTCAAGCTTTCTCTGCTACACGAAATTGGCGGCTCCGAGCTGCATCTCGACCCCGACACTTAGGGGATCGTCTTCTGCGGACTTGCTTCGATGAGCTTCTTATGCTAATTCATGGGCTTCTATGTTCTTTCTAACTTTTAGTATCATGGCAGGCTGACACGTGATCGGGAGGGGAGGTTCCAAGCTGTACATACCATTGCGTCTCCTGCGTCTGTTGCGGGAGAGTGGCTTATGTTTCTTGTTGTACATAGTTGTACAGCCTGGCTTCAATTGATGGGGTTGGTTGGTTCGAAAATTCGGCGATTTCACATACTTTTGCGTTTTCCTGTATCCGGGTTGAAATAGTCACATTGTAGAAAAGTCAGTATCTGCTCTATGCAGCTCGACATACAGATTGCCTCTGAAGGATGGCGAAGCAGGACTTGTAGGTCGAATGAGTGTGAGGCGTTTGTAAATATTTTACCATAGATCGTGGGTTTAAGCAGTAGACGCAGACAGTGGACATCATACTCTTCTGCAGTTATGTGAAGAAGTGTTGGTACGATTTAGGAGACTGCGGACTAGGAAGTGATGGAACACAATCTACAGATTGCAGCTCTGATAGCCTGCAATGTACTGAGGGGACACAGTCATTTCCTTGCAATGGCTGATGGAAACTAGAAGGAGACATCTACGAAGATATGCCTTTACGCGAGACCAGCTTCTGGATGATTTGTTGGGTCGCGAGGTTTTGAGGTGGAGGTGGTGGATCTTGTTGTCCCTCAAGTACCTCCAAGTTCTGCGTGAAGTCTTTGAAGCTTTTGAGCTCTGATATCCCTCCATGTAAAGAGGAGACACTGAGGCATTTCTATGCAATGGTTGATGGGAAGGCCGAGGAGACATCTACAAAGATATGCCTGAACGAGATATTTGTGTTTGACCAGTTCTTGGAGGGCTTGTGGGGTCGCGAGGTTTTGAGCTGGAGATGGTGGACTTTCTGAGCCTTCAAGTACTTTCACGCTTTGGGTGAAGTTGAAGAAGGCCGCTGAGCAAAGTTGAAGAAGTGGAGAAGAGGAAATTGACAGTGAATGTTCCCAGGGTGGAATGTTTTAGTTGTTAAGCATTCCTCATTCGTAGCATATGGAAAGCAAACCAGACTTTCAAAACTCCGAGTTCGTTTCTCGTCCTCGGAGATAAGATGTGGACGACTAATGTGGAGTTGGCGAGAGCTTCTGGTTGTAAAACTTCAATTGGCTAAAGACGGAAGAAAATAGGTTTTTCGCTGGACGATACATGTCAATCCCCGTGACGTGTGTACCACTATTCCGGGTATTAGGTTGTTCTCGGCGTGAAGACAAGTGTAATGGTGACTTATATTTCCAGAAATCCTGGACTTCTCAGTTTTCAAATATCCAATGCATTCTGTATTTTTCCTATTTCACTCTTTTCCTGCAATATCTCTTTCTACTTTTAATACGTAATCAACCATCTTCACTTCACACTTGCGCCATGAGATCATCTGCCATTTCCACCGACGCTGAAATTTCCGCAGACTGTGGTCAACATGGTAAGAAAAATTTAAGCCTTGAATCTTACATGACTGTCAGTAGGAGTCCACGCCGTTAATATACGTGCTGTCTAAAAAAAAAAAGAACTCAGTAAAACAACAGAATACTTGGATAGATAAATATGAAGAGACACCTGATACATAAATACAGAAAATACATACATAAATGAAAATTCTATCTACTATCCCCACTGGATCGATATTTTGCTCAATACATAAATCTTCCCAACATTTACTCATCTCCACATGCTAGTCTGTGTCCACATACTCTAGTATGTGGACACAGACTAGCATGTGGAGATGAGGACACATCGATAAGAATCTTGAAAATGCTTTCTTACAAACCGGCACTTTCACTGGAACCTTTAAGCACAAGACATAACCAAGAGTTGGAACTCAAAAGATAGCATATTGGAACTCAAATGATAGCATATGAACGTCCAAGGTTAGAAACTATCCTTAACAGTAGGTTTTGTCCATAACAAATACCCATCGCAAAGAAAGCTACAGAAATACTCACGACACTATTTCAGTTTATCATTTTAGTAGTAACTCTTTACCAATAGTTTGAACTCAATTTGCACAAAATCCCGCAACGACTAAACCCAAAGAGGTTGTGAAATACAGAAACACAACCGCAACAGTGTAGGAGCAAAAAGAGTAAAATCGATGGACAGACCACAACAAAGACACTCCACATTTCCAGGTAAGAAAAAACCAAGGTGAAAAAGGAGTACACGCATCTGATGATTTCCTTTGTGAATTCCTTTGATAATTTCCTCAGATAAATACTCATTTCTACACTAGGTGGACTCCTATTGCGGGAGCCAGTTGGCTGCAACCATTAGGGCCTCCAGATCTGTGCTAGTCTACCAGCACCACTTCCTCTCTTTCTCGTAGGTTTGGTCACTGGTCAGTTGTCTTTAACATCTACCCACTAATTTTAAATCACTCACCAGGAGGGCATGTTCCCATGACGAACAAGCACCCCATAGAACCTCTACTCAGGGGGTTCGCCATGGTTAACTGAGTTCTCATGGCAGGCAAGGCAGTATCCAGGTGAAAGGATGAACAAGTTCAGCACTTACTGTTACAAACTAGGCATCGTGTATTGCTGAAGATACTGTTGCCTAGTCAAAGAATATTAGAACGGAGAAAGATTTGAGCTACTGTACTACCCAAAGGTATTGGTGATAAGTGACAAATTAAATGTACAAGGGCTGTCCTGGGCCAGTAAAAACCCCAGGTAGACTTTGGGGTAGACTTCAGATGCAAGAACACTTGTTATCTTTCTCCAAAGTGGTATTTAGACTGCAGGATGATTTGCTAAGGGTTGCTTGCAAGAATCAATCACATCTCTAACCACTGCATGCGTCTCCGGTGCTAGCATATTCAGGGAAAGATGGAAAGCCTGCATGACAAAATCCACTGTTAGGTTCAACTTCCCTTCCGACCAAATATTCAATAGACAGGTACGGCCTTCAACCATCCTGATGAGCTTCACAGATGGATGAAGACAAGAAACTTGAGAATGGTAGCAAGGGAAGACTTACCACAAACCGCTCCAGGACGGGCACTAGAACTTTGAGGCCATCCTCAGGTAAAAGCTGGGCAATTGCAGTGCGTGATCTTTCACTGAAAGCATGGATCCAAATCGCCTCACGTTATATACTCACACTGTATTTGCACTGAACAGTCAAGATGAAAACAATATTTCGAACCCACGGTACACATGATGGACATAAATGTAGTATCAATGACTTTCACTAGAGATGTAATCAAAGCAACACACTTTCACCCCAGAGATGCAAAGTAGGTTACCTTTCTTTTGATAGGAAACCAAGAAGTAGAGCTGTATATGCTTCTACGATCATATCCTCAGCTTCCGCTTGCCCTTGCTTAAAGCTTGCCTCTTCATCTATCTACTCACCGAGACGAGAACCCGATTATTAAGAGTTGACTAAGCGACCTTTAACATAATCACCTGAACTTACTGTGCTATGTTAATAGACCAAATAAAATTACGAGAGAAAATCAACTTGTCTGGAATATCCAATTCCAAGAACATATTCCAATATTCGTAAATACCAACCGACGTAGCTACCAACCCTTCCAATTATAAGCCTTCCAAGGTTCTCTTTGGAATCAACGGATCTTATCAGTTGCAGGTCAAAATTTACCTCCATGACTCTTTTGTTTTCAGCTTCGGCAGCTTCACCGGCACCCTGTTTGGTGAGAAAGAGGGAACAAAGCAAAGCAACCATCCCCTCCTCTTGCCAAAGTTCACCTTCTTTGGTTCTTGCAATACTAGGAGGTACTTGCAGCATTAGACTGGCCAGTCGAGTCCTGTCAATAAACCCTCCCATAAGATATACAGATTTGAATATATTACCTCAAGCAAGTTCTACTCACGAGCATATCAAACAAAAAGAGATTAACCTTAAAACAGATTGAGAGATTAAGGAAAGTTAATTAAGGAGGTCAATCGGAGGTTAAGACATGACCTCTCAAAAGTGAGTATATCCATACCTGTTACAGGTATCTTTCTCAACAAGATTACAGAGAACTCCTAAAACAGTGACCACAATATCGAGATCATGGTCTGATTCCTTCGTGATAACACCTTGGGCTTCATCCCCTGTGGGAACGTCTTTGCAATCAGGTAACAAAACAGGTGCCTTAGGCCATGGATAGTGGGCGATCAGAAGAGACGACAATGTCTTCAAGCCGCCAAAAGCTGCTACTTGGCGGCAACCGACAGGATTGTTGTTGGTAAGATTCATCAGGACCTGATATGACATGATCATACGCACCGGCGCTTACTATATTATAATGAGCAGATCTTGCATAAGCTGGGTGAAAAAAGAGAGTGTACAAAACTATATTTTACATTCAAAGCTGTTAATATACCAAACGAAGGTTGTAACAGAAGAGATTCGAGCTTAAGCAGTGACGATCCAGTCCTTCGACCAAAAACCATTAGCAATTAAGATCAGTAGCAAAGACGTCATAATCACATATTCTAACACTTGACGTTGAGGAAGGACAAACTTCGTTCGGATAACTCAGCCAGATTGAGAGAAGAGACTCTTTGTAAGACAATTTTGTATCTGACTAATTTTAGTCACAATATTATCAGCTCTTTCAAGATTCGTCTATGTCCTAAAGACGGAGTGCTTTGATCATAAGTTGATTCCATACCTTCACTCCAGATAAAAGGCAGTCACCGATAACAGCTTCTTGTTTGGAATTTTCCTCCTCAACGGGTGACTTCAATGTTGTATTTTTCTCGTCCAGTACCTCTGCCACAACCGTTGCCTTCACTGCTCCTTTGTTTTCAATTGTAGCACTAATCAAAGGTCCTCGTTTCTTAGACTGGGCTACAGACTTCGCTGGTTGAGCTCTCTTTGGCTTCTTCTTGGTGTCTTTCAGGTCAAGATCGATATCATCCAGGGTAAACGGATCCTGTGAGTCTTCAAACGTCTTCTTCTTTAGGTCTCCCTTCATTTTACTTTCAATATCATCAAAAGAAAATGGATCTTGAGAATCCTCGTGTAAGGAGTTTCCACCATGCCTGATTTTGCAGGCTTTCGACTCTACGCCAACGTCAGACTGTACTGAAATTTCAACCTCTTCCGTCCCGCTTGTTGATTTATGATGAAGTTCAGATTTCACATGTGATGCTTTCCGCTTGTAAAAAATTTTTGATACCTTCTCACTGCTGCGGTCAACACTCCCCACAGTTGGAGGTTCTCGGGACTGCTCTCCTAGTAGAGAGTCCACTGATAACAGTGACGTTTCTTGACTTTTTTCAGAATCATCCAAAACCTGCAGTGACGAATGGGCCTTCAACGACTTGCGCCTCTGAAAGGTAATCACAGATGAGGTACTTTTGCCTAAAGCAGATGGTTCAGATCGTTGTGTGTCTTCTTTATGTTCCTGCCATGGAGGCGTGTCTTTAGTTTCACAGAGGTCAGCATCAAGGGTTTGCATGCTTCCTGCAAAAAAACTCGCATAAGTTAGAAAGGGAAGCAAGCACCTACTCCCAATGATGAGGCTAGTAAGGAGCTTCTAATAAAGGAAGCCTTTATTAGCTGATTCCCTGGTGAAGCAAAGAACAGTATGATAGAAGACTACGCTCTTAACTTTTTTGTGAATTGCATGTGATTGCACAATTCACATAGAGGCTACGATCAGGTCGACTTTCGGCCCGAGACATTGGAGTCAGTATTTATTGTGTGTCAAAACAGAAAACGACTGAACTCATCGGTATCTATCCTTGACGGCGAAAAACTAATTACAGAGAAGAAGAATACAAGGCTGACTTCATTGGCATCCATCCCCGGATGGGAAATATAATTACTGGAAAAAAGTACAGAAGTATGTACACTATCATCATATTGTAGATACTGTTCGTAAAAAGGACATCAGGGATAATCTTCGTTTTCAATCAGCTTTCTTGCTCAATTTACCTTTGCAAACAGTAGAAGACTCTATGCCTTCAGACTTTTGAGATAAATGAGAAATCTCTTTTCCTATTCCACTGCCATCGCAGTGTGGATATGAGGAAGGATCCACGTTCTGAGTTTGTTTCTGCCTTTGAGATAGTTCTGCTTGCCAAAAGAATGAAAGAATCAGTAAACTGAATATCACAAGAAAATGAAGACATTGTTCAACATGGACAAACAACACCTAAGATAGCTTCAAAGGACTTCCACAAATCAAATGGTCACTTGTAGCAGCACGCGCTTAGCTTTCGAGATTAAAACAAATTCTTGAACTGTATCCAAAAAGGGTACACGTAGTCACAACAAGTTTTATGTGCATCTGCTGTTTATCAATGAAGAAATACTCATTTCTGTACAAGAAAGTTAGTCCAAAAAAATTTAACCGAAAACGAAAAAAGCGAGAAAGAGTCACCTGAAAGAGTGTTGATGACATTCATTGTTAGCCCAATGAATGATTCTCCCTCATTAGCTTTCCCTTTAGGCAGCTTCAGCTCCAACAAATGCTTCTGAAAACATAATAACACAGAGCATCGTAGGTTTTAGAGACGTTTTTTTGGAACGCTCATGAATGTGAAAGCAAGAACCATCTGGTTAGGACTGCAAAGAAGACAATGTTCATCAAGAGCCCTAAGGCTCACCGCCACAGTACTAGGCAATCCTATCGCTCTGCCTCCACGTGGTGAGATATGAAACCAAATGGTTACGGATAGGCTCGGGCAGAAAGTTCTAGATATCTTTTTGAGCCAAACAAACTCAGAAAAATAAACGTCGAGTGAAATAACTACCTGATTTTGCTCACTAAGAAAAGTCACGTTCTCCATCACTCGCAAGCACCTCAGAAGCACACCAACACCACCCGATTTCTCACTCCTCTCCAAAGCGACGAGGTCAACATGTTTCAAGGTCTCCGCATCTTTCAATTTCAAGGCCTCCTGCACATGTCCAACAGACTCATCCAATTATCAGAATTCGTGAAATTTGTTGAATTGCTACTATATTTATGGAGGTGTGTTTACTTCACACTCCCGGTGAGGGCACTGATCAGAAATGGATGCCCAAAATATCATATCAGCAAGGTGTTACTGATCAAGAGATATTAACCCACTCCTTTCAAAAAGAAATAGATGGATTTGTGGAAACCAACCAATATATTCTTCGTCATAATTACTTTGTGATACAGAAAGTCTTCAAACCTGAATTCGTACTCAATAAATACGATTCGATTTTGAAGCTAATCCATGGGTAGACCAGAAAAAAAGTTCAAACTTAAGGATCGACGACTGATACTGCAAAGAAAGAAGCTTCATAAATCACCCTTTTACTCACCGTGACATTCACCAGGCAACCGGCCGCAAGCTCACATACAGCATCCAGGCCTCCAAGTTCTCTTAACCGTTCCTTGAATTGGCCCCCAACTTTTCTGACAGTTTCGGCTGTGCTATCTGCAACACGATTTTCATTACTCTACAAAATAAAAGATAAACAAACGAATGATACGACCTTGTGACAACTACGAAGACAAAGGGAAGAATTCTATCACTTGCATAAACCCGGAGATTGTGCTTAGTGCAAATATGAAAAGTATGTTATGTTGAAGTTCCAGTACTTACATTGATCTAATTCAAATGACTCTGCCTGGTTTTAAATGTTAGATGCTTACAGTAAATTGAATTCAAGCATAATCCATATCTCAAATCCAGATAGATGCTTTGCGACCTTATATAAGAATGTGTACCTTCAAGGACCACAGTTGAAAGGCACGCCTTCTCGAGTGTCAATAAAGCCAACCATTTGGAATTAATCTCTTCACCTGGAAGCATTCCATTTTCTTCACTCGTGTTGCCTAATCCAGCACCATGCTCTGGGAGGCTCTTGAACAGAGCACGAATTTTGGTCACAACTGCTCCCCCTCCACGATCAGCGCTAAAAGTTGTGTTACTTTTTAGAAGACTGGACTTTGACAGTGCAGCCAATCTGCTGCCTATCGCAGTCAAGCCCTTCTTCACGACTGGCTCAGAAGGGCGTGTGCCCAACAATTTCATAAGAAAACGGACACAGGAAGGAGAATCCAGGAGATCTTCATCCTGACTCTGCAAAGAGTAAAGAGTAAGCAGTCAGAGGAGCATAGACGGATGAGCACATCATAGTCGACATTCGAAAAACCTTATATCGAACAGTTCGATTCAACATAAGAAATTGCTATCATATCATAGTCTTTAACTCTGTGCTGTTCGTTCGAAAAAAATGGTGGTCCGGACCAGACACTTACATCACTTGCTAGGAAATATAACACGGCTGCGGCAGCGAGAGACAGAGCTGCATCGTCAGTGGGTAGTGCAACAATTGCATCGACAAGAGGCTTAGCCATCCTGGTTAAGACAAAGAAGGAACGTATTAGTCTCCAAACCATGCTACTACGAAACAAACAAAGTATATCCTAAAATTGGTGACAATTCTGGTACTTTAACCCCAATCCCTGCAATGACCGGTTGAAAAGACCTGCTAAGATGCACAACAGCAAGTTATGGACCCAGTGTACTGTTCTAACCCATGGGCCAGCCCCTTGCCTAGGGGCTACTGGGCTTGGTACGCTACCTGTACCTTGTAGACAAAACGATAGTTCTACATACGTCCGGGGTTCACAAAACAAACCGCTATTGCGCAAAACCCAAAAAATGAAACCAACAAAAACCGTGTTGAGGAGATCATTTGCTTACAACGAAGAGATTAGCGAAAACAAAACATATAAGGAACACATCATGTGAGCACCAACCGATAAACGCAGAAAAAATCCGTTTTCAAACCATTTTCAATTTTCAAACCAGAGACAGTGCACACTTTGAACAGAATATTATCAGCAGTCCATGCTCTACATTCAAAACCCCAGTATGTCAGTACACTGGTGCAATGAGAAACCCGTAAAAAAGTAGTAATTGCTTAGAAAAAGGATATCAGCCTCAGTCAGATTGAAAAGAAAATAATCTGTGAGGATCAATCATGAGAAGCAGAGAACATAATAAGATTCCACGCTACAGATTGTACACAGAGAGCCAGAAGCGCCAAATTTCTATAAATTGGAAGACTACTAAAATGATAAGAAAGATGAAGAGATAACAGAAAGAGCAGAAGAAGGATGGAAGATGGAACCAGAAAGTAGTTGGATTATTCCATCTTCCGGTTTATCAGTTTTTAAGAAACATGTGACTGAATAATGTGAACGCTCCTGCATTAATCAACTCTTCTCAACATGAGCGATTATATGGAGTATTTTAAAAGTACATGTCAGGTTAACAGAGAAAAAAAATGAAGCAGTCAGACTAATAACAAAAAAGCAAATGTGGTAACCAATATTACCACATACTGGTTTGATAGTGGTTTTTATTTTAAAGCCAATTTACAGTAAAACAGTGGATTGCCAACTTTGTAAATATCAAGCATAAGTCCAGGAACCTACAAACAATGCATGCGCAAATCTACACTTTGTGTCACCAACAACAACGTCTGCTCACAACCTCGCTCATTTCCATTAAAAGCTTGCAGCAAAGCTACCAAAACGTTACTCTGACTCCTCAAACGACCCATAGAATAATTTACTTCGTGCCTACATCTAGTACAGGGTTATCAAAATATTTTATTGTTTCACGATACAAGGTTCCATAAAAACAGAAATTTTTTTTGCCAAATGTCCTGCAAACTACAACATAAATTAATCAACTAACAAACAGCAGAACTACTTTGACGAATCTGCTTCTGGAAAAGGTCCTGCTCAACGAAAAACGTGTTGTTTGATCATATAGTAGTCACTGTAGCAGCTAGACCAGAAACAAAAATACGAAAAAAGCGGAAAGAACTACATATGAGTAAGGTCTATTGACGTAAGTGCTCAGAGGCCATCTGTCTGTTTAGATAATCAGCAAACAAGGTACCAATGGTAGAACAATATGCTGAGTCATAATTCGCGTATAATAGGGCCAGAGGGATGAAAAAAACAAAAGACGGCAAAACGGGCCTCTTGTCCATAGAAGTTCCTTCAAGAAAAGAAAGGGTTACTAGAATCTCAAAGCGAAGACAAGAAATACAAAGGTTCTCGAACACTTACCCTTGAGTTCGCAGCAATCTCCGCTGATGCATTGAACCGCACAGCGTGAGAAGAGATGTGAGGCTAGCTCGCTGAACGCGCAACGGCTGCTCAGGTTTAAGTCCATCCAAAGCAAAGTTTGCTTCGTCGACGTGCTCCATCATCTCACCAGACTCCTGTGCCTCCATTAATGTCGATGTAGGTGGGGCACTAAGCCCCCAAGCACTTGTGTTGTTCAAAGCATCGACCCAAACTGACTCTCTCTTTCCACTCGAACTTCCTCCTCCATTTTCCTGACTATCCTTCCCATGGAGGTCCGAAGAACGTCTCCGTTCAGCACCTCGACTGAAGCCATTCCTCGTTTCACTAATAAGCGATCCTGGAAGATCACTCTGTGATTTCTTCAGTTTGCTTCTACTGGGCTTTCCTTCATCACCCTTCTTTGGCCTTTCACTGTATGACCGAGAAAGAGGTGGTCTAGAACCAAGACTTGAGAGCGCATCTGCGCTGAGATCATCATCTTGAGAAAACCTTCTTGAGTTCAGAGGTAAACGGCTAGTACTTCTATGGTCCGACTGAGACCAACACGACTCCTGCGAAGAAGGGAAGGAGAAAGGTTGGGGTTCTTGAGCCCCACCCCAAATAGATTCTTGGGAGCCAGAGCTTCCCACGCCATCGCCAAACGCATTTCCACCCTCTGACAGGCTACGACTGGGCCTGTTCCGCCGTTGGTAAGTTCTGACTATCATCGCTCCCCGTTACTATCAACGCTTCACTTCCTCTCAGCCAGCACCTTCGCAGCGTGAAAATCGCAGGCAGAACACATCTAGGGCGTCTAATTCTCAGAGTTTTGAGGTCTGACTCTGTAAGCGTAAATTGTAATAAACTGCTACTCGCTGCAGCTATCCTCGGACAATTTGATAATTCAACCCTAATTTCCTGAAAAATGACCAATATCTCCTCCCTTCCTTTCCAGACTGGCTTGTTTGTGATTACCTACACCTCCACAATTCAATCCTCTGGCTGCCTTGGTTCTGCCGCAGGTAGAAACTCGTTCTGGACTTCAGACAGATGCACACACGAGGATAAAAATAGAGGAAGGCCTTGCTCCAGCTTATTCGGAGTTGAAAACTAACAGAAGGACCATGACTTCTGGAGAAACAACAAAAGTCATAAGAAACTCATGAGCCAATTTCCCATTTGAACTTGAGTAGCTCCAGCCTGGATTCGTCTCAATGGCCGAGACCAATAAAACGCATGGTTCCGCGACGCTTACACCTACAATTGTAAGGCCGGAGTCCAAAGACAGTGCCAGACGGTGCAAGACGACTCGTCACATCAAGTTTCCAAGACTGAAATAAAGGGCGTGTCCTGCAAGGAAGGCGGAACAGCTCCAGGCCTTCCCGCATCTACGACATTGCATCCGAAGGTGTTGTAGACGAAATTTTCGTTTGCAGAGTCCTCGTCTTAATTTACTAGCTTCCTCGGTGACAAACCACCGAAATGAAGTGAGCACTGCTCCCTACCAGAATTAGGTGCGAGAAAGAGGTGGAGACATTTCTGAAAGTATGGACAACTGGGGGAATAAGCAACACACCGTGGGTCTGGGTTTTAAACTTCTGGGAGCCAAGGAGGCAGAGAAGGAAATGAGGCAAAACTCCAACAATTAATCGCTTGCAGAGACGAGGGGAGAACACTAAAGGGCCAAATTAAGGAGAATGAGAACATAAAATCGATCCGAACGGAGCATCCTTCTCAGAATGGTGTTTGGTGATTCCAACCCAGCCATCAACGGCCTGGGACGCACTCCCACCCTAAACCAATGCTGGTGATGCTGACGAAAAGTGCCCAAGCTCAAGCTCTCTCGCACCCTCACGCCCACCATCAGCCGGAAAGGCAACGAAAGAAACCGGGGACATTCAAAAGACGTACGTCATTACTCCACTTGCGCATCAGCCTTGGCGTCTCGGCTCGGCTCGTCTCGTCGCGCCTCCCAAAACAACAACACCACGCACGCTCGCGCGGGCGCTCGCTCGCTCGCTCGCTGAGGCACTCAGTGAGTCATCGCGTTCTGTCACCTCTCCCCCCGTCTCTCGCGCACTCGTGCACCATCTCCGCTGCTCTGCTCTCTGTCTCGCGCTGCGCTCGCTCTTCTCCGAGCAAACGCTCAGACTGAACCAAAACCAAAACCGACTCGCCCCGAGCACGAAGAGCGCGACCGCGCGACCGCGCCCCGCTGCTTCAGCTAACCGAACCTGAGTCCCGTCCCGTCCCGACCGGACCACGGCCTCGGCCACGGGTTGAGTTCTGACTGCGCCGTGCGGATTGCAAAGAGCATGTCCAGCACACCACGTCCGAGATTTGACCCCAGCAAACCCGCGCGGCACTCCGGCTCCTAACCGCGGGCGACTAGCTCTGCGAGCGACTCTCTGACAGCAAGTGGGTTGACTACGGGTCTCGGAAGCCCCGGGTGGGTTCGGACTCTGCAGGCGGTTTTCCAATCCTGCCCAGTCCAGGCCGCGCGGATGATGATTCGAGCTACGGTGATCGTGGTGCCTGTGCGGTACGGAAATATACTGCTGTGCTCACTGCGGTTCCGATCCATACCGGACAAGGCGATGGTGTAAACGATGTTTCATTAATATACACGGTTTGCATGTAGAGGGAAGTCTGACCGGCTACTTGCTACATCTCGTACATTTCAATACATTACTTTGGTACACTTCTTCGGTAGAAGGAGAAATCATTTAACTCGTGTAATATCATGGACCCAAAGTTTCTTTTCTCGGAAGTAGCTCCGGGCTCTCATTGGCCCGGAGTATGTAAAAGAGATGTTTACTACATATTTAGCGCCACAATCCCTACACATGCAGTTGTTTTCTCGGAATAATGGATGCCAAGTTGATGAAAATTTAAACATCGATAGCATAACATACAAAATTTCTAAACAACCAACCCCCAAATGCCCCTCGATGAATATCGATAGGTAGTGATGATTACGGTAGAAACATGAGGATTTCGAATGCTTTTCCATTATTATACACTTCACAAACCAACAATGGTGTTTCTTCGGAGTTCATCTCCAATCAAGTTAAATAACGTCAAATCCAAAAGAGTGTTATATTGAATCTCAAGAATGAATCAGAACTTGCAACTAAGGAAATAAAGTTCTCAAATGCTTTGAAATACACAATAAGTCCAAATTTTAGTCTGTTTATTTGTAAATTTCCAGCAAAGAAGTAATCAACGATTTTCTACAATTTGTATTAGTAAGTTATAAATTAAAGTGTTATCTCATAAATCGTGCATGCTGAATTATCATTAAAATCCCAAACTGATATTTGGACTATGAATTTTCATGATATTCAATAGAAATGAGGATTTCAATTGATAACTTGGTAAATGAATACTGTATATATTTGCATACATACATACATACATACCTAGCATTTGAGAAGTATAACTAGCAAATAGTTTTAACAAATTATAGTGGTATATACACAAATGTAACAATTTTGTAACAAACAAAAATATCAAAGCTTGAAGACATATATGTAGAAAATATAATCTAAAATTTGCATAATAAGATGTATGATAACTGAATTTTTTATTTTATGAGCACGATCTCTCTGCCGGCTTCATGAGATTGAAATGAAAAAATTATATATATATATATATAAAGAGAACTAATTGATAATTTTGATTTATATATTTATAATATAAAAATAAATTATGAAATGTAGATACTCAGGCTTTTCAATTCTAATCTTATTCTTAAACTTTGAACAAATATGTATCTAATTTATGTTTAGTTAATAGAAAAGTTATAATAAATTATTGATGAATAAATATTAAAGATAGGAAAAAAAAAAATGTGTTGTAATTTCTATCAAAATTTTTTCATTAAAACACAATTTCTCTATATTACGGATGAAAGATCAGTAGGAAATGTTATAAGCAACCAAAAAAATAAATTTATGTCAAAATCATCACCAAATTCATAAATTGTTTAAACTACTGCAACTATCAATCAATTTTATCATACAGAAGAATTAATATGCAATGCATATTTTCAATTCTTTTATTCAGATGCACAAATAATGAATTTGGATAATATTAATAATACTGATTTATTAAGTATTATTTAATATACTTTTAATGAAGATGAATGTTGCTCTAGAATTTTATGATTATTCTTCAAATATTATTATTAAAAAATTAATCTTACAAAATTTGATTCCAACTTTTGAACTACATTAAAATCTGAACTTCATTCATTTGAATTGAATTTTATTACATATATATAATAATTAAAATGTAAGCTTCATTTTGTAATAAAAAATCATGTGCTCAATTGACTTTTAAATTTGAATAAATAAATAAACGAATTTCAATACAGAATATTTATAAATGTTATCATGTTTTATAAAATTTCTATCTTGATTAAAAAATTGGCAAGGTATAAAACTTTTTATTGATGTCATCTTAACAACAACTTCATTAAAAAATGTATCAAAATACCCATCAATGATATATGTCACACATATATCACATAGTTAGGAAATTTAGCATTATAAATAATATATTGATACTATGCATGCATTGTTAACATTCTACATATTTAAAATTGATTTTTATTTGTCTAATTTTAATTTCTAATTTTCAATAAAATTGTCTTACAATCATTATTATATAAAGTATGATATTCAGTTTTTAAATATTAAATTATATGTAAATTGAAAACAACAACAAACCAATAGTATCATTATGCATGTGCACTATCAATATCAGTTGAAATCTTATTCATCTCTGTTAAGTAAGAAATTAAAGTAGAAATTATTAAAATAAATTTAGAAAACAAGTTATATGATGTTTTAATGAACAATTTATTAAAATACGATAAGAAGAAAAACTTATTAAAATTGTTTCGATATAAAATTTTATATTCTTATTCATCAAAATAATGTGATTTTTTAAATTTTATAATAATTAATTTTATAATATATTAATAATTAAATTGAATATATATTAATAATTAAATTGAATATTTATATTGAGAAATATTATTTGAATCAAGAAAATTTTATACTTATTCTCAAAGTATAAATATTGACATGCAAAAAGATTCAAGTCAAGCTTATAATTCACATTTTTTAAATGAGTTAAATTATAAGTTATTTTATATTTAAATGTAGATTGACCTGGAATTAATAAAACCAGAAATCGGAATATTTCATATTAATAACAAACTTTGTAAAAAAAGCTAACATTTATAATAAAAAAATACAGTCAATGTATTAAAATTTAAGCATATAATTATAAAAAGTAACACAAACGTACGAATACTATATGAAATTTTAGAAATTTTAACAGATTTAATCTTTAGCTTTATATATGTATTTAACATGAAGTAATTTTATTATATATATTTTTCGTTAAGTTCATGTTCTCAAAGATATTTGAATTACAATAAATTGAACAATAGAAATTTTATTTTATTCTGATATACTTGCATAGTCATAAATTTGTGTGAATAGTAATTTCCATGGTTTTAATTGAAATAAAATTATAAAATTCGAATTATAAATAAATAAAATTTTTAAAAATTAAAATTAAATTCATGTTGGTAAAACAAAAATGTGTGCAGTAAATTTGTGCCTCATTTATTTTTAAATACTATAGCCAATGTAGTTTTTTTTAATTTAGATATTCCGTTCATGATATAATGTTTTACTCCAATATGTACATGTTTAACATTAATAGCAAAATGAATTTTTTTTTCCAAATTATTTATGTTTGGCTAAAATATTTTCTTGTCATACATGAGATCATGATTTTTGTGTTTTCAGTATAATTCAATGTATTCAATCTTTATAAGCTCAAATTATTTTGACTTAGGCTTTTATTAATTAAAGTCAATTTCTTGGAATTTATTCAATGCCATGATTATTTGAAATAAAAAGTATAAAAATATATTTAATACAGATTATTTTTCATTTTCAATGTGTTATTTATTTTAAATAATCATAAATTCAAAATTTAATATTTGAAAACACTGAAATAAAATAGAAATAATCATTACAAATCAAAGTCATTTCTAAAAATTCTACTTGTAATATTAATTTATTTTTTTGAAAATATTTCCATATTTATATATTTAGCATGAAATTATATAAAGTTTAACAATTTTCGAATTGGACACAGAAGTGAACTCTAATGAAAGTTTGTGATAAAAATAATGCTTATGATTGTGCCGGAGTTGAATCTATATCACATAATTTTGTGGAGGTACTTGTTACTGAATAAAACGGAAAAGAAAAATACTTCTAACAATTATTTTGAATAGAATATTTTTTTTGAAAAAAAAAAATCCATTCATGCACAAAATTTATGGAACTTTTTTGACCCAACGTTATTTTTTTATGAGTATGTTAACTTATTGCATACAAGTTTTCTTTTACGACTAATATACTTTTAATGATGATAATCAAGACTTAATTATTTTATTTGTATTTTTTATATTTTAGTTATGATCTATGTTGATAAAATATTATTAAAAAATAAGCCATCATTTGATCACAACATGAATATATGTTTATTATCACAAACATGTATATACTTCGTGGAATGTATTCCACCAATTGTATTAGTTGATCACTAGATTAATTTACTTAAAGTTCAAAAAATTGCTTTGTAGATGAAACTCATTTAGAAAACAGATCAAATATACAAATTTTTGCAAAAAAATGTATTCATTATTGTCACACATTCCATTAGTTTTACTTCTATCAAGATACTTGACTGTCATTATTGACATTTACAAAAAAATGATTTGTAAAGACAAGGATGTTAGTCTATTAATGAATATGATCATAAGACTATTTTTTAAACTTGCAAATATATGCATAATGGAAAATTTTAGTAAAATAAATTACAAACATTTAAATAAATTATAAACAATTGAGCTGTCATACATAAAAATATTATTAATTCATTAAAAATAAGGATATACAAACAACTATAACAAGTTATGAAATTTGATTTGAAACTTCACAAAATTTATTTAATTCATAAATCACATATCAAATACATAGTTGCATCCAAAAAAAAATTTCAATAGTACTCAATATGTTCAACATTAAATCAACAAAAATGAAATTTCATAATATCAATTTGTTTATCAAAATATGTAACATCAAATCATAAACCATATTATA